GAACTTCATTGAAAGTTCTTCACCAAACAACACAGGTAACTCCGCCCACCATGAGGAAAGGGGGATTACAAATATCTTTGAACACAAAAAACGCGAAGCTCTTAAAACTATTCAATTGTGGACTGTATAAAATAACAAAAGACAATTCTTAAACGTTACATCAATTAAAGAAAACAAACACAAATATAAAAGAAATCAAAATCATGTCCAGATATGATAAATACCAGTTACATCTAATAAGCCTCATAGCTTCCTTACTTGTCTTATTGGTCAACAAACTTAAAACCTCTAATAATTAATTTTAATTTACAAACTAGTGCTCATATTTTATTCGCCAATTACTATGCGACTCTTGATGCTTACTATCTCTTTGCTGCTTGTCTGATAAATCAATCGTATGCTTACTTTGGCCAATATTTACTTTATTACGACTGTATTCTTTTAATTCAGTACTAGGACATTGGCGTTGAATAAAATGCCGTTGGACCTGATTTCCTAAATTATAAGGACGCATCACGTGTTCCCTGTTCTGCATTTGGTATGCACCTTTTTCATGAATAAGGTGACACTTAACTCCAGTACCCGTTCTTTTCTTATACATTTTAGCTAAATCTGTTGGTGATTGCTTAAAATCTGATGGACCTGAATGCAATAATACATTATGCTTTTTATGACAAACACTACATCTATTTGAGGAACGGCAATGGTAGGCCCGATGGTTTCCAAAACAGTTGTAACATAGCTTATGGGTTTGAACATAATTCTGTCGCTCTGCAAGACTTAACCCAGCGAATTTCCTACAATTTGATAACTTGTGTTCACCCTTACAAAATAAACAATTGGTAAAATTATTAACACTATTTACATTAAGGCTTGTCCGAGCAGTATTTACATGTATATTTTGCGTTGTTACCCTTGATTTTAAACACCTACTATCGTCCACAAATTCAAGAGATCTAAACCGCGTCTCTAAAAATTCCCTTAGCTGCCTCAAGGTTGGTAACTCAGTTGACGATCCGATCTCAGCCTCCCAAGCTTTCCGAGATTCGTCATCCAACTTCGAGACAGTAATGAATATAACAAGCGGATCCCAAGAATTTGTGTCGACATCAAGATTCTTCAATGCGTTCAAGGTGTTATTTGTCACGTCCAGCAAACTCTTAATGGAATTACTTGATTCAACACTAAGCGTTGGTTGATTTACAAAACGTTTTAAAATGGAATTGACTAAATATCTTTTATTGCTGTACCGATTGTTAAGAGTTTCCCACGCTTCCTGATAGTTTGCTGCCGTGACGGAAACATGTCGCAAGAGCTGCTCTGCCTCTCCCGACAGATGACACTTGAGGTAGTGCATTTTTTGTACTTGATCAATATGAGCGTTGTTGTGGACCAACGAAACATAGAGCTCTTTAAAAGTTGTCCACTCTAAATAACAACCTGAGAACGTTGGTAAAACTATTTCAGGTAACTTAATATTGCAACTGTCGGGTCTAGACTGTGAGTTTATATTAACACTACATTGTTGACATTGCTGTAAATATTCCCTAATCTCTGACTTATAATCGATGTACGTTTCCTCAACCAACTCATAAATACTATCGATACTATACGTTGTTTTAGCCAATTGCTCAGCGTCACACTCTGAATACAATTTTGTATGTGTCCCAGAGAAGACTCGCCATTGCTCTTCTAAAGCTTCCAGTCTCGTAAGCAAATAGGTTTCTTTAATAAGTTTTTCCTTAGGAGACTTTTTGAAGTTTACATATGCCCTATCTATATCACACTTATGGCTTGTTTGAGCCCTCAACAGTGCGGACATCTCCATTTTTAATAAAACAAACACAAATAATCTTAATACACAAACAAAATGAACCAATAATGAACCTTATCTACATTATGATAAAACACAAATACAATTACACAAAAATAGTCATTAAAATTGAAATAAAATAAAATCCGCACCTTTCCAAAATATTCACTTACTAATTATTGTTGCTAACTCAATACGGCGCATTCGCGCGGATGAAGTCACTCACGCTTGGATGCGTCGCGCGTACGTCTACTTCGCCCCCGCCTCCTTCTGGACCTTGCTGTGCCTGGCGTCGCCTCGCGACCGTCCGGGACACTGCCAAATATTATGGCGCGGCGATCTGCTTCTATGCGCCTGACTTACAATAGCGCCACTTATATCAGCCACTAATATTATCTTGGATTCAACGTTGTTATGATGATGGATACTACTATTGAGATGCTCTTCTTTGGATGGTACTATTTAATAAAAGGTGCTCTCACCATATCCGGCTCGTTTGGACCAATGAATAAATGTAAACTAGTACCATCGTTTTTATCATCTTTATTTATATTTACAGAAAATATACAATTTATCATCCCTTACATTTTTTACGTTCTTTTTCTGCTTCTGTCACATCTTGTACACTTTTTATTAATAAAATGTCTTGGCGGCCAATATGCAACCTCTTTGGCTGTATTTATAATTCTTGTCAGCCAAAGAGGTTGTATTTGCACTAAACACTATGTGTCTCCTCCACCGTCAAATCCACTTTTCCTTCATATCCTCTCCTCTTAAGAAAAGGGTGGAAAGGGAAAGGGACTAAAATTAGGCCTTCGACACCACACTCATCAGACGAAACGCGGAATTGCTTCCACTTCACGTCTGTTTTCTGTGTGGTCGTGGTATTGGTGGGGGCGAGCCGACCCATTCGTGCGAAGATGTTAAAGCGGGCTCTATCACAGTAAATTTGAATTTAAATCATGTATGGTTTACGCATTTGACAACAAGCAATTGCTTAAATATGTTAGTAACATAAGTGACGTGGGTCAGCATTTTAATGTGTTCATTGCGCTGTCGTATCAACGTCGTACCAACGAAAATCTAAGTACATTTGAAATTTATTATCATCCAAAACCATTGAGCATTCGGATTCCAAGAAGACAGGTCGTTTAGTGTCAGCCGCGTCGCTCAATGTTTAATTAACAATCGAAATTTTGTTAGACAGGAGCCGCACCTTTTTAACACTAAAAGTACTATTATGCATTTTTATGGATAAAACCTTTTCTGATTAGAAACGAAAACTAGCTTGCAGTTGTAAATATCGATGCACGAGTAACTCCGGGCGACCGTTACTTGTTGTCACCTAAACTTTATCCAACGATGAATCTACTTCTAGCAAGACTACGAGACACTTCAAAAAACAGTCATTCACTAAACATTTTTTCTCTAAGACCACATTTTGAAATTTATCTCAGTGTCATTATCAACAACCTGCCTTGTTCCCTATAAAAAATTCACGGAGTTTTCACGATTATTTCCCATTACGTACCATTTTCAACATTTGTACCATGAATATAATTATCTGCCGTTCTATACCTCCGTTGTCTGTGATCTGTGATTTTTAATTACATTTCATTATCGGAATGTGTTTCGTTTGACCTGCTTTTGGTCTGTAACAACACTAAGCTCTGATTTCTAGTACCTTTAAAATAATCATAAGTAAATACATATCATACATTCTCCGTATTCTTTCAGGTAGACATCTAAGATAACATCTAAGCAGTAGTTAAAAGCGAAGCCGCATCCGCGTGTACTGTGATTTATTTGATTGATGTCCGTCAAGCTTCAAGCCCAGTTGCACCCGCGCCTGCTGACGCTTCGAAAACTGCTCACGTATCGGCTTTAGAAAAACATCTGGAAGATTTAAATTTGTACCGATTATAGGAAATTTATTAGCGCTGTAATAAAGTTATGCAGGAACGTGAGTCCTTTTCTGAACGGCCGATGCTTACTGCTGCTAACATGCTGTATGCCGTCTCACCTCACCGCACCTCGCCGCCCGAGGAATGTAACCAATGGTAACGAACATAAAATACTTGGTGCTTTTATTTCTATACTATACATATAGATACTCGTATATGCTATTGTCATATGGAAACAGATGTTTTACACTTCATTTTTTTACGTTTTTATGCAAATCGCTAGATAATCTTTTGAGAGACATTGAGAGGAAAGAAATATCATTTGTGAGTTCTTACTTTTTCTGTAAAAAGTATTTGAAATTTTGAAATCGATAATCGAGTAAAATTAGATAAGCGATTCTCTCAATCATTCTCAGGATTGGATAGTCATGCATGGTCACCGTAATTCTTCACTAACAAATTATGTTTAAAACTTTTACCTATGAAAAGAAAAACCACGATCAGGATAATACTCGCTTCCGCAAGCCTCCACGACACAAATTCTCACCATTTTAACAAGGGAAATTTAAGAATATCACGGATTTCAAAAACGCCGCCATTGGAGTCCGATTCGGCAACGTCATGCGGTGTTGTCAGTTCGAGTGTTCGAATTTCAAACAAATAAAAGAAAACCTGTACGCCAATCGCAAATATGCGTTAATAAAGTTTTACATGTAACAACAAATAATATTGCTTTAACATATCGGTAATAAATTATTATTAATATTTAGAAACATTTTGAAAGAAAATAATTTGATTGCATTATATTACATCAATTGCCTATTTTTCGACAAACAACGAAAGGATTGATATCTGGCAACTAGCTCACTGTTAGAAAGTTAAAAAGGGAAATAGCGGACACTTGTAGCCCTCTCAGTCGTTTTAATTTCATTTGCGTGCAACAAAACTCTTACGCCCGTAAAATAAGGTTTAATTTTCTTTATTTAACTGAAAGATGTACAGAAAGAACACACTCCTATTGTACATAGTACTTATTATTCATGCCTGGCACTTTTTTAACCGGAGGTGCTATTATAATTTAGTTTGACTTATGCCCATATCTTAGTCGGTCTATACATATTTGAATAAGACTATGAAAATCTCGCACGTGGCTTGGTATTTACTTAGATATATAACCTATGGCTTATAGATAGTGTTTATGATAATTTCATAAAATTAGTCTGATTTTAATAGAATTTTTCAATCAGTAACATTGATATATTTACCGGTTTTATATACTCTTTGTTGACACATGACCTCATTCGTCATACGCTGTCAAGTGTCAAGATGACTGTTCTTTGGGCTTTTGGGTGTGTTTTGATTGTAATTGAAATCTCTAAGGAAACGTCATTAACACAAAAGATAGATAGATTGTAATTGGAAGCTTCATAATTAACTATTTACATAACAAATCGTATTTTATAATTCAAGAGCCACAACAAAATTAAAATCCATTTCGATCTGTATTTAGAATTTTTCTCTGCGTGAAGAACTTGGTTTTATTTTTATTTTTTATTTACTTTACGAATATATATACAACTATGTCACTCAACATAGGAAAAACATACATAAATCCATTACCGGATGAAACAAGGTACGATATTATATACTTTGGTTTTTGTAATGAAAATTATATGTTTACCCACTTTGAAAACAGACATTAATTATTGTTTTTTGTCTTTAAAACGTAATAAAACTCAAAAGCAGTACTAATTAGTTTATCTACCTTTACAGTTGGGAAGTCCACAAGTTAAATGGTCCTGAAGACATATTGAACCTAAAGATAACAATTCAAAGTGGTAAAGGAGTTGACAGTGTTTCCAAGCTAACTCCCAAATACAACATCAATAATGCAGTTTTATTCCAAATAAGGATGGATACTGGTCTTGCGTGTAGTAGTCCTTGTATTTTCTCGCCTCTGTCAACCAGTTATCTTACCTATGACACCTATACATTATTTTGCAACTTTAAGAAAGATGAAGGCAGTGACAAGACATATATGGCTGATGTGTCATTGAAGACAAAAACAAACAGTACGAAAAAAACATTTCATATAAATGATAGCACATGGAGATTGCTTATTGAACCCACTACTCTTAATTTCGCAGCCAGCTTTGAATTAACTGTCACTCTAAGATTATTTGATCAAATATTGAGACCATTTGCACTGCTGTATGAAGATTTGAAATCAACCGATTTAAGACTGATAGGAAAAGATGGAACCATTGAAGTGCACTCTGCGGTATTAATTGCATATAGTCCGGTCTTTAATAGGGAACTATGTGAAAAAGCTCAGGAATCATCTCGTCCCTATGAGCTAATACTGCCCCATGTGAAACAGTCAACTTTGCAACATTTAAAAGATTACATTTACTTAAACAATGTCCCGGATTCTCCGCTATCAAATGTAACAGATCTCATAAACTTTGCAACAGAGTATAAGATGAAGGAATTGAGTCAATTGTGCACTCAGAAGTTGGTTACAATTGCTGTTGCTGAAAATTTCTATGAATTGACGTGTTTTGCACTAAATAATGACATGAATGAGGTGTTTTTTGACATTTTAGAACTTATTGAAAATGGCAAGATCAGGACTGAGGATATACAGAATTGTAGTAAAATAGATTCTCTAAGTAATGGATTGTAGTTTTAAGTAATTTAAAAAAAACTGTTCTTATACCACAAGCTTTCTTTGTTTTCCATTTAACCCTTCAACGAACAAGAGGGTTTTTGAGATAACAAAAAACTGGTGGTTTTTAAGGTAAGTGGCTTCTGTAGATTTAGAATAATCCATTTCTTAAAAGGAATATCTTAACAAAATTAAATAAAATTTGCAACAGTCTGGAAGAATACATAGACAACTTTATTTCAATTGTGAGAAGAGATGGTTGCAGACAACAGCTAGAACTAGCATAAATACTAAACATGTTTCAGAATAGGAGAATGGAATTCAAATAAACAACCATGAAAAATTATTATGAACAAATTTAATATTGTCTTACAATACCCGAGTATTGTTACTTTGGAAGATATCCTTATAAAACTTAATCCTAGTGGCAGTCGGCTGAATTACATCAAACATCAGCAAGTTTTAAGCAACTTCTAATATCAGTCACTTTGATTTTCCCATTTTGAATATAATCTAATACATTCAAATAGAGTTCAGGTATCTTATGTTGTTGAGCAAATTCTGTGATGCGGTAAACATTGCTGGGTGTCAGAGAGGCCATTATCTGGGCGATACACTTGCGCTCCAACTCCACCATCGCAGCTCTGGATGCCAAAAGCAACAATTGCTCTATATCCTCTGTTGGCAAAGTATATAAGTAAATATAGGATTTGAAGTCTTGTAAAGTTTTATCTTTTACTCCACTGTATTCAATAGTATTATCTTTGATTGTTTTTTCCTGTATCATTTTCATAATACTGGGGCTCTGAGCGGCCAGCACTGCCCCATGTACTCTCACCTCCGTCCCACTCTCGCCCACCAGTTTGTAGTCAACCAGGTCTGTGTCTTCATACAGTGCTTTAAATGGGTTTTCACTTTTAATTATTCTTGTTGTGAAAATAATATTGAAGGATAACTTTGAAGATGCAGACTCATGGACTAAGAACCATGATTCATTGTCAGTACTAAATGTCTTATCCAAAAGACCTAAACCTATACTGTTGCACATAATTGAATATATTGTTTCATCATTACTGTCAGTTTTAACAAATTTGAAGAACAGAAGAATTTTGTAGCTTTCATTTGGTATTTGCACACCTAAGGTGCCCCGATTATATACATCAACAGATGTTCTACTGGCAAAGGCTGTTACCTTTGCCAGTAGAACTTTTAGACCAATTGTTACTGATGTGTTTATTTTATGTTCACTCACTGTAGAAGTACTCTTTGCATTGACATCTGTGTCAACTTTTAACTCTAGCCAATTGTCTCGTTTATTGACTTCTGTTACATTTAACCTGAAAAACAAGTAAAATACAATTAGATGGTAAAAGGAAACAAACAGTATCAAGCAGTGTGGGTAGGCTTCTCGCAAGATGAACCTATGATCTGGTGAAGATTGAGGTAGTATTATGGATGCGGGAGGTACATGAGCCGTCATCGTGGCGATCTTTAGGGGAAGCCTATGCCTAGCAGTAGACGTCATATAGCTGAGAAGAAATATCAAGCAAGTATTATCCTCAATTCAAATTTTTACCCTATGATCCTAAAAAAACAACTATTTTATAGTATCAACTATATTCTCGGATATCAAGTAGTTTAGGCAACTTAAAACAACAATATTAAAAATAGTTGTTATTATAACTCACATAATTTCACAAGATGTGGTCGGTTGTGATAATGTACGTTGGCCAAACATATTATAATTGACAAATAGTTAAATTCAGGGGGTGACACGGCCATACCATAGAAAATATAGTCCTGCAGGCCGCAAGGCTCTTGTGGCACCTTTTTGACACTGACAGGATGGCGCCTCGGAGCATTTAGGGTTACCAGCAAGGTAATATGTTCGCATTAAAGAGAAATACTTTCCTTTTGAAAACGAAAACGCAAATTGTAAAGGAAGTACTTGTACCTTACAATGTAACTAGGAAATGTCCCAGGCTTTGTTTGGTTAGAAGAGTATAGTTAAAGAATCTTTGTAGCAAACTCACTTAGTGCTCATCTACAGAATAATAGAAATCTTAATGATTGTTTGTTGTTAATAATTAACGCACAGTACAAACTACATATGTGGTGTGCTCCGTGGTTTGAACGAAACAATGCGGTATAAAATCATCAGACAGCCAGTTTCTTGTTACATTTCCGAGTACACACAGTAATTTCCTTATTACGTGAGTAAATTAGTATGTTAAAAACCAAAATCCTTGTTCATGTTGTTACAACTAAGAATTCGTTCACTATAATTTGAAATAAATAGGTAATAAAACAACTATCAGAAAAATATTTTTAATCAATTATTGTTAAACAATTTTTGAAATTACAAAACTAAACATATCCATGCGTTGCCTTGATAATAGGGTATCATTAAGTTCCGTGATCAACTCATTAATATAAAAATTAAGATCTGGGTTGACGTTATATCGCCCTGTCTAACACCACATTTCAATCTATACTCCTCTGTGTGTTCCCCTGGCCATTTTAAAATTCAAACATTTTTACAAAAAAACTAAGAACTCTCAAATGATTTTCTTTTCTCTCAATCATTCTCCAACGATTCCTAGCGATTTGCATAAAAATTTTAAAAAATTAAGTGTGCGGGCCAACTTCACGCTCAAAATTTAAATTGCTTTTACGGACAAAGTAGGAACTCTCAAACGACTAACGATTCTCAAATGATTTGCATAAAAAGTAAAAAAAAAGAAAATGAGGGGGCTAACCTCACGGAGGTCCTTAACAGTAGTTAAAATCGCCCTATTTTAGCCCCTTTCTTAATCTATGGGTTTTGTGTATTGTCTATTTGTCAAATTGAGTATGTTGTTGATGTTGAATTACAAATTAATTATTTATATCGAAATGCAATTTGTTTGAAGGAAAAGTATGCTGAGTAAAGCGTGAAGAATTACATTCCGTTTACAAAATGACCAAAGTTGATAAATATTGTCGGTTGTGCGCCGAACCAACTGAACATTTAATTTATGCTGACGAAGAAGCAGCTCTTAATTCAAAGATTGCAAAGAAGATGCTGTGGATTAATATCGACGTTTCTCCTTCAAATATGCTCCCTAAAAGTATATGCTATTCATGTTTTGATCAATTAGAAAGGACTTGGATTTTCCTCAAGAATGTCCGAGAGGCGCAGGAAAAATTGTATCTATTATTTCCTACCATCAATGTACACAAAGCTAAATCAGGAAAGCAGTCATCCGAAGTGGCAAACCCAGTTGATATGAATTGGGATGATTTTCAGGATGTTAAAGTTGATATAAAAGATGAAGACATCATCACTGTGATCAGTACAAATAAATTTATTGAAGGTCTAGAGAATTTAAAAAGAGAACAGTGTCCTGAAAACGACCAGGATTTTGTGACTGAAGACAATGGATTCAGCAGTAGTACAGATAGTGATGAGCCCTCTCTTGTCACAGTCAAAAAGAATAAAAGTAAAAAGCGAGTGTCACAACAGGAGGATGATAAAATATACATAGAACCCGTTGACATTGCTGACCTGGATGTGACATGGGAGGAGGAGGCTTGCCGCTGTGCCCACTGCGATGCTCAGTGCAAGAACATCTCATTGTTAAGGTTACACTCCCAGCATATACATAATAGCTGTTGTGTTTTTAAATGTGTCAGCTGTGGTAAGGTTGTTTCCAATTTTAAATCATTTGTCAAACATTTGCGACTGCACAAGCATATGCTTAATTATTGCTGTGAGTTCTGTGACAAAAAGTTTACAATGACTAAATTCATTAAAAGACACAAACATGTCGAGCATGGCGGTGGGAACTTAACTTGTTGCAGGAAATGTGGCACGAGTTTTGACACGGTGGAGCAGTTGCATGACCACTTAGAGAAATACAGCAAAAGCATTAAGAAAATGTTTAGGAAAGCCGTTGATAAAACGGATGAACAAGACTTGAAGTGCAACCTTTGCCACAAGGAATTCAAAAAGCGTACCCATTTGAATCAGCACAAGCTGGTCCACACAGACCGCAGCAGAGACTTCTCCTGCCACATCTGTGGCAAAATGTTCTTCATGAAGGGAACATTGAGCACCCACATACTGACACATGAAAACGTCAAACCTTACAAGTGTGAATTTTGTCCGATGGCATTTAAAGCAAAAGGAAACCTCCAATCCCACATCACATTGCATTCCGGAACAAAGCCATTTGTCTGCGAGCAGTGCGGGAAGAGCTTTAGAGTCAAAAGGCATCTGAAATCACATTCCATAATACATACAGACTTAATGCCTTACAAATGTGAATATTGTGACAAAACTTTTAGATTTAAAACCCGTCTTAACTTACACCTGCGACAGCATACAGGTGCTAAACCTTACAATTGTCCTCAATGTCAAAGAGACTTTACAAATGGCTCTAACTACAAGAAGCATATGAAACGAAGGCATAATATTGACACAACATCAATATGGAAAAAGTATATCAGTGCAAATACAGCAACGGAAGAAAGCAAAGATACTGTTGCTGGCCAGACATGATATAGTTGACATCTACTTTAAATGTATTTATGAAGATAAAATAAGGTTGTAATTAATGAAAAAAAGGTTAGAGTGCAATGGGTACAGAAGGTCAACATTATCACTAGCAGGGCCGGTTCTAGCAATATGGACGCCCTGAGCGAGATGTTTAGGGCGCCATGGTGCTATGAATGAGAAAAAAGGTGCTCATGTTGCCCTTTTTTGGCGGTCGCCCTACCTCGCTCTGCCCAAATGCATTACTGATCAAAAGCTATATTTGTGAATTGCTAGATGTTTGAAATGTTGTAGTTTTGTTGATGTAAATAATAAAAAGTGTGACTTTATAGTTGGTAGTATATTCCATTTTAGTATAAGAAATGTTTTAAATACAATTTTATGTACATTTCTGTTACAAATTATATTATTTAATGCATTATTTTAAAGCGTTCAACCCTGCAATAGGCCAGCATAGGTGTAGTTTTCTGAGAAATACAATTTACATACATAATTAAATATATTTTTGTACATATGATGGTTGTTTGATTTCATGTTAGAAGATATCAAAGTAGCTTGTTTTTTATTCTCATATAGATGGCTAATAGCTGAAGGTGATGACCACTTCTAACTTCTGCCGACCCTTATTCATCAAACTGCAAATATCATGGTTCTTTTAAAAGCCGATATGAAGTATCGAAATAAGATCTAGATTTATAAGATTACAGTGCTTCTAAGGGTTTAAACTCTCAGGAAACATGTTTTCAACACTATCATACTCATGAGATATTGGGACGTTCCCGTTGGCTCGTTCGTCTTACCGCTCGATCGACTCAACGGGAAACACCTATCACGTCAGGCAGTGCATTCACGATGAGAATGTGTACAGCGACAAATATCTAATAATCTTGATATCGATTTAGAAAACTATTCGATTGGTTTTACAAAATTTCCGACGACGCGACGCGATGCGACGCCTGCCTATCGAATAGACAGAAGACAGAACTTGTAATGTCATTTATAAAGTCAAAAAAATGGTGTGTAAACAAACAAATAATTAAATTAAAGTTATTTCCGACGGCTTTACAAGCTACACACTTCGTTATAGTAAGACTAGGCTAGGTAGAGGCTACACTTAGGCTTCGGGTGTTTCGTTAGCCCTACCTGCTGGCTAGTATCGTTTTAGGTATGTTTTTCTAAATATTATAAATAGTCTTTTCATAGTTTATTTATATGTAAACATAGCCGGCGTTAGGGTAGGGCGCGATCGGACCACCGCTCAGGGTGATGGACAATAAGTTGCGCCATATAACCCAACCTGGTGAACAAAAAAGGCGGCGACCTAGAAATCTGGCTCACGGCGCTTTTAAAGCTAACAACGCCACTCTTAACGACACTAATAACTTACTAGACGTAAAGTTTAAAAATTAGGTCAATTATAGTACGTAGTTATATAGTAGCCAGCGTAGTGGAAATTCTGCAAGCTACTATATAACTATATAGGTATACCATGGCACAATGGGTAAGCGGAGAGGAGAGGTCGCGCCTCCTGACTCGCTTTGTCCGTTCCACAAATAATAAAGCCCCCAAGTAATGACTGTAGTGTAAGTCTACGATGTCATCTACTAACTTGCAGAAAATTCGCTATTGCCTCAAAACTGTAGTAGGCGCCTTGCTCAGTTAATGTTTCAACTTAGTAGGAAATTACAAATCGAATTCTAACGTATCCAAAATTGCACAAGTTTAAATTTTGGATAAAGTCGAATGCCAAATTAGATTTGAGCACTATACTTTGTAGTTCTTACTTTATAACATTATGCTTTTGGCGTTTGCTACACATTTCGCTTATCTTTCTGATACTTTAAACGCGTCGCGATCGCGGAAGTGTAAGAATAGTCACTCTCTAGTTATCAAGTATCAAATGATTATTAAACATACGTATTGTAATACAATAAATGTGCGTATCGTAAGAGGAGGAGTTGGCGCGTGCCGCGCTATGTGGGCCGCCGGTGCTCAGCAAAGCATGCACGAGACAAAGGCGACGGTAATATTGTTCCAGTCGACGACAAGAAAGCCGACGAGACAGTTTCCCGAGCCAGGCCTGACACACATTTCAAACACTAACGAAAAATCAGAATTCCCGCCATAATTAGTGACGTGTCAAAATTCGAAAACAAAATTAAAGAAGATTTATTTTTTTAAATTTATTTTTTAAACTTACTAGTTCGTGATGATATAAAAGTTTTCTAAATTCATAAATGTGTCCCGATCGTAGACTGACATGACGATTTGTTATTTAAAAATGTACCATGGCAAGCGCAGTGCGCTGTGGCATCTCGTACTGATTGCTTTCTACACACGGCATGCCTGCGCCGACAACTACGTCACTATGGTGAGTGTCTAACACACGTATTTAACTGTTTTAGTTAAGTTTGTAGCATATTTTTCATACATCAAGAAGGCAAACGAGGATGCCAGGACCTAGCACTTAGTATTAACCATTACCCGTATAGATTTGTGGATGTATCAACAGTGATTGGGCCCGCAATTACATATTTTTCATGAATGTGCCGGCTCGCCTGGTGTAATACCACCACGCAGAAGACAAGCGTAAAATGGATGCCATCCGTCGTTAGCATGATAAGTGGTATTTCAGAGACTTAATTTTATCGCCTTTCCCTTTTTACCCTCTTTGTACTAAGAACAGGATAGAACGATTTGTCGGTGAGCGGACGCATAGGTAGAGAAAATATTCTACTATACGTCCACTCCTCAGTTGACTAAAGGTAACCAACACATCTGTAAATCCGGATTTGTCGAATTGCTTCATCTTTGAGTGTCTTCTACTATAAAAGAACAGACGAGTTGCCTATATTAGATAGAGAGGCGGATACACCAAACAGCAATATAGTTAATATTTCCTTTGCCTATTCATCCCCTCCGTCGTCTGTATTCCCACCGTAATCCTAACTTTGTCTTGTTTGTGCTATCCAATTTAGTAACGTGTAATATGAAAACAAAGCACAGCGTCATCTACCCCCGTTTACGCAGTAGCTCTCACGCCATACCAGGAGCGCCAACTTCAGATGTTTACTTCCGATATTAAAACAATAGTTGAATACGTAGTTATTTTGTGTTTCATTTTAAAAAAACTTAAATAGATCGTTACATAATATATCCTTGGGAGATGACACAAGTCACCGGATGTCCTCAAAATTAAGTGAATTACGAACCGTGTGGTCTAATGAGGGTATTGTTGAGACATGACCTTCGTCGACACAAACTCCGTCAGACATGCAACTCTCTGATTGTTCTATCATTATTTGTCCACAGCTGGCCGTCCTTGCACCGAACCTGTTGTTATTAAGCCAGACTAGGCAATCTCTTTCGCCTTGCACTTTATCTATATTTAAAAATATTCAGCATTAAGTAAACCTTCCAGAATCTTTAAATACCACACTACACTATAAACGGAGGAGAGGACCAACTAGTATTAAATGGCGGCGATGTCACGTTTTTTCTTGCCAAATGCCATTCGTGCAATAGATGCCAAAACAGTGCTGCGATGATAACTTAAACTTAATAAAAAAAACTATTATAATAATATTATATGCTGAATCGTGCACACTGAGTGTGACGGGTGTGGCCAGCGAGCAACGCGATGGCTTCGCGGCGTATTGCGCTCTGTTTATTTACTAAAGACTTGAAGGCACGTGTCATGTTGAAATGCTGTGTGCCCGCAAGCTAGATATGTAGATTCACGAGGAAATGTTAGATAGCGTTTACTGATTTAAATAAGAATGTGATAAATCGTCCGCTGTTTCAGGGCCTCAACACGAATGCGGCGGAGGCGATGCAGTTTCTGCGGGAGTATGACCGGGAGGCTTCCGGCATGTGTTACAGGTCGGATATTTTATTATCCACACAACTATAGTGATCCTCTTCCAGTAAAGCGTGTAGTAATGTGATGTGCAATATGTGCAGAGTGACGACGGCGCAGTGGAAGTTTGTAACCAACATAACGGAGCAAAACCGGCGGCGGATGAATGAAGAGCTGGCCCTGAGCTCCAAGTTCGAGCGGCTGTCGTGGCGGAAAGCGGCCGCATATGACGCCACCCGCCTGGTCGATCCGCAGGCACGCCGGCAGCTGCGCAAGATTGTGCAGGCTAGCCGCGCATCGCTCTCCGAGGACAAGTTTAATGAGGTACAATACTGTGAATACTAAATACACTTCGTGCGAACCCAATATGAATCTAAGATTTCATTTCAGCTTCAACAACTAATAACGGAGATGAAAGAGATCTACAATTCGGTAAAAATATGTCCCTTCGGACAGAAACCTTACGACCCTCACGTGCCGAAGGTGGGGAGCATGGCAAGCACCCCCGCCGGCCCCTTCCCGCTGACGCATCCACATTACCAACTCAACAACCACCCGTACCAGCACTATCAGCCGTACCAGGACAACCCCGAGTACCCCAACTACTGCGACATGCAACTAGACCCCGAGATCTCGAGGATCCTCGCCCACTCCAGGATAGAAAGCGAACTTCTCTACGTGTGGAAGAGTTTCCGGGACCAGACCGGGCCCAAGTTGAGGAACAAGTTCATACGATACGTGCAGCTGGCCAACGAGGCCGCCGTTCTCGCCGGTAACATTTTGATACTTTAAAACATAAGCTCAGTTTTGAAAGAGCGACTGTTTTGGATAAGAAAGGATATGCTAAAATTATACACAAGGTTAAAAACATGTGAAAACGATCTGTATTTTACAGGCGGACAGGCGACAACTTTTAGGATATGATCTGGATGGATTTTGTTGAATGTTTAGAGGCAAGCGTAACAGGTTTCAGGAATGCGGGCGAGCAGATGCGCGCAGCGTACGAGGACCCCTCCCTGCGGGAGAGTGCAGAGGAGGTGTACAATCAGGTGGCGCCGCTGTACAAGCAACTGCTGACGTACGTGCGCCGCCGCCTGATCCAACGTTACGGCAACCATACTCTGCGCCCCGACGGACCCCTGCCCGCGCACCTCCTCGGTATACCTTTTCTCTCTACCCCACCGAATACAGCATCATTCATTTTACAAATTACAGTCCACAGATTTTTATATTATGCTATTTGATTCAATTTACGAGGCTATTGTAAGTTGTATTATGCGTTGTAAAGGTAACCAATGTTGTGTACGCAGGCAACATGTGGGCGCAGAATTGGAAGTCGATTATGGACCTAGTGATGCCATTTCCGACGTCGCCCGCGCTGGACGTCACCTCGGAGCTGCTGCGCCAGGGGTACACGCCGCTCAGGTCGGTGCTCGACACACCTAGCGAGTTTTATCTCGTATATGTCTCCAAATAGAATCTTGTTTTTTTTTAATTAGTTTACTACCTTCATCACTGTCAGTCGATAAGTTTGTGTTGCTACGAGCTTAGATCTACACATATCTTGATTAAACCACAAGTGCGATTCGTGTAGTAAGATGTGATGGGGCGCAGAATGTTCCAGTTGGGCGAGGAGTTCTTTACGAAGATGGGTCTGAAGCCGCTGCCACCGGAGTTCTGGCGCAGCTCGGTGCTGACGCGGCCGCGGCGGCCCGCACAGTGTGCCGCCAGCGCCTGGGACTTCTGCAATCGTATCGACTACAGGTCGCCTTCACATCCACGACACATTACTCCCCTTACTCATGTCTGTTACTCTCTGCAAGGATTACAGATAACGTTTTTTAAATTTTAAAAATAAAACAATTTTGCCATAGGTGTAATTTTCCTGGTAACATTATTTTAAATATTTGGAATATTTGGTAGAGTATGTCGGTATTGTGATGTAATTCACTGTACTGCAGGCGCTTACGGATTACACTCATTATGAATTCTTTGTCGCAGGATCAAACAGTGCACGGAGGTGACGACGCAGGACCTGGTGTCGACGCACCACGAGCTGGCGCACATCCAGTACTACCTGCAGTATGCCGACCAGCCGCAGCTCTTCCGCGACGGCGCCAACCCCGGTATCTCTTTACAAAACGTCACACGTCTCGAACATGCATTGCTAAAAAAAATATTTCTGATGTTAAGTGAACCCCACTGGCTATCATATGACATTTAGAAACAGTGAGATATCCATAACCTTCAAGTTTATAATAGCAAAGTTTGATCTGTACATTGAAAACTGCATGTATATTGTATGCAGCTTTCCACGAGGCGTTGGCCAACGCGGCGACGCTGTCCGTCTACAACATGCCGCACCTCTACCGCCTCGGACTCTACAACAACAAGTCGGTGAAACCATATCTATAATAATTAACTAGGAGCCTTCTATTTAAATTTTTTATGGTCTTAGAGGTAACAGATGATAGTAAAATTAGACTAATTTACAGAATAAAGTAGAGAAGGAATTTGACGGTGAAGTATTTCATGTAGAATTCATTTTTGTCAAATAATTGTGTTCTTTGTGTTGTTCCACAACCGTAGGAGTCACGACTCGTACCAGGTGGGCATGAACTTCCTGATGACCATGGCGCTGGAGAAGGTCGCCTACCTGCCCTTCGCCTTCATGGTCGACCAGGTAACATCTCAATACATTCTAATAGTCATTATTCGTTGACCATTATCAATACGCGCTAGCCAAATACGACCACGAACTGAAGTATATATAACCTAGGTACTAGTATTTCTGTATGGTAGTGTTATTGTTGCAGTGGCGCTGGTCAGTGTTCGAGGAGGGCGTGGAGAACATGAACGCGCGTTGGTGGCAGATGAAGCTCAGATACCAGGTACTGTGCCTTTACAACTTTTCTCAATCCGCATATTTTTATTCCGGTGGCCCCAATACAGGAATTGCCTAGTGTGGCCATCACCAGTTTAGCTTAGCTAGAATAACTTAACAACTATTTTAACTTCCTGTTATGTATAATTTTAAGGTATTGTCAAAGTTATTTGTTTTGTACAATCTTTTTGGTTTAATAAATTTTTTTTCTCATTTTTCATGTTTAAATTTTTAATTTGCGAACAGTTTTTTGGACAACACTAACGCTCTATCCCAACACCTTTCGAATTTATGGTGTGAAAATTTATTGAGGATATTTGTGGTTACAGGGAGTCATCCCGCCGCTGAAGCGCAACGAGGAGGACTTTGACCCCGGCGCCAAGTACCACATCATCTCCGACCAGGTCACCTCATTTTGCTTCAAAATAAAACCGCTATAGAAGCTACTTTACTTTCTATAGTCTTATCTGTCGACGACAGCAGTCCAGTAGTACATAAGTGCGTGTACTCTTGGCATTTAATTGGTCATAATGCTATTGATTGGTAAAAACGAATGTTGCTGTGTGAGGAGGTCATGGTGTAACTAGAATGGTGTTCATCGCGTTGTGCAGGAGTACCTGAAGTTCTTCCTGGCGACGGTGCTGGAGTTCCAGGTGTTCGAGCAGCTGTGCGCGGCGGCGGGCCACGCCGAGCACCTGCACCTCTGCGACCTGCACCGCAGCCGCGAGGCCGGCCGCATGCTCAGGTACCACACACCCCTCACATCTCGTACACGTCACACCTACACTCATCTGCACTTCAAAAGCGTGTGTTTCAGGAACTTTGTGCTGCTAATTTAAATAAATCTGAAATAAGCTGTCTTGTTGGTGTTTCGTAGCGATCTAATGCAGCCGGGGGCCTCGAAGCCGGCCGGCGAGCTGCTGCGGACGCTGACGCGCGGCAAGACCGACAAGATATCGCCGGAGGCTCTCGTCAAGTGAGTATCTTATATTTGCAACCATACTTTGATAGATGCACAATGACCTATTTAAGAAGATAATGCTAGGACTATGTTGCTTGGGAAACTCTTGAAGCAGAAAAATGTCAACGCTTAACATATAAATGGGTAATTGAGGAGTTCCGAGTGGGTGCTCAGCATTCAACAGGGTGTAGAGTATCTCGCCGCAGCAGTCGCAGTGCAGCTGCAGTGAAGGTGCGGCTGCAGCAGTGAGGGCGATGTGTGCAGGTACTTCCGTCCGCTGGAGCTGTGGCTGCGCGCGCAAAACCGGGACGCGCCACTCATCGGCTGGAAGGCGAACAGGCCGGACGTGGCGCTGTTTTCGCCGCGCTCCGCCGCCGCCGATGCCGCGCCGCCCGCCTCATCACCCGCGCGCACGCTGTACCTACTCCTCTGCTGTGTCGTCCTCCTCCTACTTCATTGAATAAATGTTGTTACTGTTTTTTATTACTTTGTTTTAATAACGATAACTGGAATTAAGTGAAACCTGCGTATAAAACGAACGATGTGTAGATATCTTCACAGAAATACACTAACAAAATTCAATTCAAGATATAAGTCAGTTTGCCAAGCTGCAAAGACGTAGCAACGTGAGAAAATGTAGAACAGTCAGTTCCACTAACTGCAGTGTGAGGTATCTTATACAATAATGGACAGTTCCATATGTTTTAACGACTGATTGCTTATAAAATGACATTTAGAACGAAACAGGCTGGTAGTTTTGAAGTTTCTGTCAAAACAGTAATGTTCTACCTCTGGGTCTAGTCCCAACGTTGGCCGCACTGACTCACTGACATACCGCCCATTAGAAAAACTAACAAAATTCACTGCCCTCGTGTACTCGTATATCTTGGATAACTTGCTGTGTATTGCAGTTTGCGTGTGAAGAATAATTTACTTTTTACATGTTACATGCAAAAAGATAAATACGAGATAGAACTATACAATTATAACGGAATTTCTATACATATAAAGAATATCATAAATTATCCTCGCTCGTCTCACATATCGAGCAGACTATCAAATGTAATGCAAAAAACGAGGTCAACAAACACTGCATGATTGTTAGTTTTATTTAGATATTTGATAATGTTGAAACATAAGTTGCGACTGAAACTTCATCTATTAAAAAACGCACTGAATTTAAAACGCTTTCTTTAACGTGTTTATTTCTATGGTAACACTAGCTTTCGCCCGCGACTCTGTGCGCGTGGAATTAAAAGATAAAAAGCAAATAGCCAAAGAGTTCTTCCAGACTATACTCTACGTCTATGCCAAATTTCATCGAGATCCGTTCATCCGTTTAGGCTACAAACTCTAACAAACATCCATTCATCTATACTTCCGAATTTATAATGTTAGTAACATATATTAGCAACGTTTATCATTGTCTGTTTTTTTTTAGGATCAATTACCTCCCTTGCTCCCAACCTCCTCTGGCGATGCCGAAGCAAATTATAAATGTTGTAATTATCATCTAGCTATAACCTGCTCGTTTCAATGTTTGAAAAAAGTGTTTTTATGTTTACTTTTAAAACGGTATAACTATTTATTTCAAAACGGCAACTAGATAACGAGGGGGAATTAAATTTCGGACATCGTACGCTTACTGCCCACTAACCGCGCTTGTCTCGCCTTCTTAGTATCTTCTAAGATTATCTATATAAGCTTCCGTTCAAGTTTTTTTTTTAGGTTTCTTGCGTTTCGTCCTAACGAAAATATGTAATTCTTTTCTTCTATTCTAATCGCAACGACACTAAGAGCGCGCGCACACCTTAAACTATCGCACAACTTTTTAGTCTCGCATTAATTCCTATTAGCTTGTATGGAGGTGCGCACATTATTAGATTTTTTGTTGTGCAACTAAACAGTTCAATTGGCTGCGAAACAATCGACAATCGCACAATAGTTGTCCGATCGTTTATTCAAAGGTGTGCGCCTGCTCTAAATGTGAAATAAAACCATTCAAAGAAAAGTGTAGACGATAATAAGTATGTAATTAATTAAAAAAAAAACATTAATCGCAACTTAACATATGTTACGTTTTAGTAGGCTTATCCTTACCTTTCTTAGCAGATTTAAATGTAGCATTTCATAATTATGTCGTATGTTAAGTGATTCGCAACACAATATTATTGTTCATGTTAAACTTAAGCTTTGGTTTCGACAAACGGTTCGGTGTGTAGATACAGCCGCCGTCAGCCGCCGTCAGCCGTTAACCGCGTTGCCTCGCTCATCAGTCTTACTTGAGGACCGGCTGCGGACGCACTGCAACAGTAACACCTAGCGACAAGATGCGCGCACACATCTGTACCTTCGCCTTGCTCATCTGCTGCGGACGAACTCGCGCCCTTCAGGATACAAGCGATGAACGTAGCTTTGTTACATCCGTAGAAGGAACTTTAGAATCGAAGTACGAAGAGTTTGTGTTCGCTGCGGCGCAGTGGCTGGAGAGCATCAACGACCAGCACCTGGGCGACGGTGCGCTGGGCCGCATGCTGCATTATAATGATATCAAACCCAAACTGGAGCGCCCCCAACACGGACAAGGTGAGCACCTTAACTCACATTATGTTTACTGTTTCTATCTTAGTTTAGAAGCTCTCGCCCAAGACTTCTTCCAATCGAAATAAAAAAAGGAATTTGAAATCTCTACGCTATTACAGACAGAATTTTTATTTATGTTGCATGTTTCATCCTCATTCTCTTAACTGTTCTAGAGATAATACATAATAAAATCCACCTTAGTGTAACCCACTGACGCGAAGTGCGGAGGACCGCAGTCAATGTCCGACGACCTCTTTGACATAAGTTGTCGGTCCTCCTGGATGAAGCACAATTATCCCGTTAGTTAATTCTTTAGTAATAATTACAAAATTGCTGTGTGCTCTACGTGCAGGTGCGGGGGAGGGCCGCGGGCTGAAGAAGGCAGCGGGCGTGATGCCGCTGGTGTTCCACGTGGGCGCGGCCTCTACGTGGATGCTGGTGACGTCACTGCTGGCCGCCAAATCCCTCGCTCTCGGCCTGCTGCTGCTCGTCTTTAAGATCGCGGTCAGCTCCGCTAAGGTATGTATTATTGTCTCACTTCTGAAGGTAAATGTGATCAAGATATTTTTTTAAAGTGTACTAGTAGACATCAATGCTAACACTGTCATATAGTTAATTGCAATTTTTACAGTTGTTAATTGTTAATTCATGAAGTATTTACACGTTGAAACCCTTTTAATATTTTTTACAACTGAAAACCCAAACATCAATAAGCACTAATTACTTAAACAAAAAATGCGAGAGATATTTAGGACATTAAGTGAGTACGAGATATTCCGTTATTTTATTGTTGATCAATTTTCAACAACACCGTGAACAATGGAAATAGAAAACATAAACATCATAAAAACTGTGACAGAAACGTATTTAGCCAACCTTCACGCTTTGGGCGGTAAAATACCTTGTGAGTTACTAAAAAGTACAACTTATTTAAAAAGATTCAGCAGCAATAGAAGTTCATAAAAAACTTTGAAATGTAACGTATTAATTATCCAACAGTGTTATTATTGATAAAACATTGTTGACGACTAACACTGGTCATAGGGTCGTGGGTACAGATGTTTAGGCAGTGCGGGCATTAGGGTGCGTTTGGAAGACGGTCCCAGCGCGCTGGACAGATGTAACGAAATAATGGTTAAAAAGGGCGCCGTAAATTATCTATATTCATACTTGTAACATTGAATTGTTTAAGGTTATAGGGATATTAAAAGTTAGTTAAGGAAGCCTTCTTCGAGAGGGAACGAGTTCTAATTTGCACAGGACTGAACTGATTCCTCAGATATAAAAACTTTGAATAGTTTCTGCCAAAAAAGCTAACAGTTTCTGCTAATAAAAAATAGAGTAGTTACAGCCGTCATCTCTATTGAGATGTACTTAGTTTCGTGCAAAATTGTAAGCGTTCAAAGATCGTTAGCATATTTAAGTTCAGATAAGAACAAAAAGAAAACGAGTGTTGCTATGCCGCACGTCAAATAGCTGACCCACAAGCTCAACGGAATTGCTTTTTTGTGCTGGCAACCCGAAGCACTCACGTAGCGGCCACTTATTGAAAGTAAATTGATACAATAAAGAAAAAACGTTTCAACGTCATCTTTTATGCGTTGAATTTAATTGTAACAGTGCGAGGCTACAGCCGAAACTCCACCGTGTTTGTTTGTCTTTTTGTTTGTATTGTATCGCACCGTAGTGTACGCACTCACCTCAATTTATTGTACAGATATATATTTAAAATAGTTGAATAGAACGCACATGGACCACCAGCGGATATAAACATTGTATAGAAAATAGTTTATTGTTATTTTTCTCAAATTATTCATTACTAACTAATTAATTTTCGCACTTTATTATTAAGTGTAATGTTTGTAAGTTAGCAGTGTTTTCCCGGCAGGTGGCGTCGTTCTTCACAGCGCTGAAGGGCAAGCAATCTGACCACCACCACGATTGGTCCTGGTCTCCCCATCATCACCACGGTCAGTCGCTGCATTTGCTAACTTAGTGTTAGAACAAATGAAACGAGGCTTGTAATTACAAATGTTTCGCTATACTTAAGTTTGATTCAACTTCGAAAAAGGGTTAAAAAAAATTTAAGTGCAATTACTGGCTAAGAGTTAGAAATTGCAAAAATTGTGTTGTGGTAATGACCACATATTCCATTTTCATACCACAATAAGATTCCAATGAACAGAATGCTGACCAACAATAAGTACGCTAATGTCGACATTTAACATTCAAAATGGCGGCGTGTCGTTAGCGTTTTGGGAAGCGGCTCCTGCGGCCGGCAGCGGCCGTGGGAACTTTGCCGGTCAAATTAATACGTTATAAAAAAATAAGTAGGGAATATTATAGTGAACAGCGGTAGGATCGCTATTTATAGTTATGCTGATTATAAAATCATGAGACGAATACATAGATATTGAATTAACTTAAACACAAAGTTTTAGAGTTTGAGAGAAATATTGCTTTTTCTTAGTAGTTACTTCTGTACTTATTGTCGTTGCCTATACATTGATATCGATACATTAATACTCTCATAAAAGTATAGTGTTACAAGTCGCGCCACCTGACTTCACATCCTAATTCCTAATGTAGTTAGTGGTCTACGAAGGCCGCAGTCCGTGTCGCTATCTTGCGGCCGACACTCACAAAAACAAGTTCAATAACACTTTCTATAATTAAGACGAATAGATTTGGCATATTCTATAAGTATAGAAGAGATACATTTTAATATAGGAGTTCGTATTCCTATCAGCTACCGACGGGGCAAATCTCGCGTCAGTCAGACCACTGGGGTACAAGGTAGTATGCAGTAAGCTTGTGCTTTTGTGTTAGGTTTCCATGGGACATTAACTAAACATTTGTAATTTTCATGATAAATAATTCCGAGACGATATACGCTAAGAAAATGTGGTTGTAGTGTGACAAGTAAATGTGTCTGGTTGCAGGATACGAGAGGAGTCTGTCTGCCGCCGCCGCCTCAGCCGGTGAGGGCCGCTTTCAATAACATTTTGTTAGCGTTTCGTCCGCCTTTGCTTTATCTATCTATTGCTGATCACAGTTGAAGCTGAGTCCGATTTGATTGAATAATTTTGCGCGGTTTACACTTGGTCAGTGGCGCTTTGATTGGACCGGCACTTAACTGGCCGTCTGACTTGCCGTCGCAAATCTCTGTAATGGCTTAGTGTGAACCGGGCATTCCTCTTGCGCATGTACACAACATACTAGTTAGTATGCTCTTACCGTTCCTTTACCCTTCTGCTGCTGCTTGTTGCACTTCTTAAGGCGATTTATTTAAAGAGCGGTTATATTTGCAGACGTACCTGTGAGCCACAGCTGGACCTCGCACGCACTGGACTGGGCCCCCAACACTGAGTACAGGACCTTGCCGTATGAGGAGCACGAGAACCACGAGGAGCCACCTAATGCCGAGACATCGATTCACACTTGATACTACTTGAACGTCAATAAATATTTACTAATACATGTGATTTTTATTCGAAATCCTACGCACCTATCTACTTTCCTCTTACTATACCTTGGTATGTACTATTCGCAACTTGTTAGCCTTTTACTGCCAGCCTTTAACTGGCCCCTTTTTTAAATTGGGAAGCTTAGTCACAACATACGTCTGTAATATTGACAACTGTTATTTTATTTTATTGCTACATCTTACTAATATCATAAATGCGAAAGTTTAGATGGATGGATGTTTGTTAGCGTTTGTAACCTAAACGGCTGAACGGATCTCCATGAAATTTGGCACAGGTTTAGAGCATAGTTTGGTAGAACACATAGGGTACTTTTTATCCCGGGAATAGTTGCGGTTCCCGTGGGATTCATTAATTTAGTTTTTTAATGTTTACTCGATCATTCTGCAAGGGTTCAACATATTGCTTGCATATGCTTCATCCCTGAGGGATACGTAGCTTTTTGTTATTTATGTAGTTCGTATGTTTTCTAATACCACGCGGATGAAGTCGCGGGCAACAGCTCGTTTTATATAAGGTTTTTCACAAATTTCTTGAAAATAGATATCGCAATGTCTGCTAAATTTCGGCGCAGCTTCAGTTTTAAGATATCAAATAAAACAACAAACATATCAAAATATCGTTTATAGCAAAAACATATGTAAATTTGGACGGAACTTTTTATTTACAATTGAGCAAATAAATTTGTATGAGAAAATATTTACATAATATTTGAACATATTGTCAGTTATGTACAAAATATAAACATCGCTGTATATAAATATAAAACTTGTGTATACATACATTTTGTCTTATGTGCTAATAAAATAATAAAAATTGGAAAGTAAAAAATACTAAAAAATCACAACGAGATTCAATGAGTAGATACGTTAAAGCCAATATTCTCCCCTCCCCCCCGTCCGACCCC